TATTTTTTTTTTTTTTTTTTTTTTGCACCCCCCAAAAAAAAAAAAAAAAAAAAAAAAGAATTTTCAGTTTTAGAGATTTAGGCGTTTGCTGCTGCTAAGTGTGCTGTTTCATAAATTTCATCTCTAACAATTAAATCTTCTTACATTCAGCCTACATACAAGATCGGCCCACTTTACGTTAACCCAACCCTATAATAATCTATATATCCACATATAATTATTACCCGCGAGCCCATTCCTCTTATCAAGACATTTGGGCCATAAACTAGTGGCCCAAATTACTCCCATCCCAGTTATAACTCACTCTCATTTGATCCAATTCAAACCCAGTCCCCAAACACTAACACCAACTAGCCAATTTCTATAACAGGATCCAAACCCCTTCCCATCTGGCCCCGTCCCAAGTATCCAACCAAGCCCGATTATAACCAATCCATTCACATCAAATACCCCACAGTTTCACCTGATACCTCTCTCACAGCCACTCTCTTGCCGCTGCCGCCTCTAATCACCATCACGCCACCACTTCATTATCTATTGTACCCAGGCATCCAGAACACTACCGCTTCATTGCCATAGGCCACCACCACCAACCCAGGATCATACACTTCCACCACAATTACCACACTCATATTTCCTCGTCCATCTCAACAATCTAAAAGCCAGTCACCACACACAGTTTTACGTCCACACCAGAACCAGCACAAGTTACAGTCAACAGGGGCTAAAACCATTGGACACGAAGGGAAGAACAGAAGCATAGTTGGGACTCATAAGTCAGCAATTCAGATCAATCGGCATACAAATAATCAAAACTAAACAACAGGGAGTCCTTGATCTCTATTTTGTATTGGTTTATACTACTGCTTCATTTTTAAAATTGCATCAATTAAAATCTTGTGCTGCTGTTATCGTGATAATTTTAGCATTAAACCCCACTTGATCGAAACCATTAACCGAATTAACACCAGTGATTGAATTGACTTCCATTGTTCCCCACTTAAATTGATTAGAGAATTTGACTAGTGTGTTGACCCTTGCTTTGCCATTGTACATGTACCAACAGTATTAACTTGTTTTGGATTTAATTAATCCCAATATTTAAAATTAAATAAAAAAATTTTGGTACAAGTTATTTTTCATTGCTTGCACGTATTGTTCACTGATCTCATCATAGCATATCATTTAGCTGGTCTTACATTACATGTAGTTGCGTAGTGATCGTCTTATCGTCTCCATTTCCAATACATTGACCATGGATCCATTCCAATTTGATGCACTCACTAGACAATTAGCACAACTTGCTACTAGCCTATCGACTGTCCAATTAGATATAACTGCTACTCGTGAGGAGAGAAAGACCCTAGCTGCTAAGTTGAGCAATTTTAAGCGAACCCTTCGTTTGACTGACACTAATTCTGAAGCGTCTCATAATAAACAATATCATCGTGAACAAAGTGATCAAGAATATTTTCGATGCAATCGTAGGAATAGGGATCAGATTCGTGAGCGAGAACAAGGCCATGGTCATCATGGTACTCATTCTCTTCCTTGTCGTAAGGAGCGTTTCTTTAGAGACATTGACTTAGATATTCCTACTTTTGATGGTTGCTTAGTACATGAAATTTTTACCCAATGGAACATACTTACACAAGAAAGTCGGCTAGTAACTGAGTACATTGCTCAATTTGAGGAATTTCGAGTGAAATGTCATGTTGTTGAGAATGAGGCCCTGACTTTAAGTAGGTTTATACAAGGTCTACGAGATGAACTTAGGCGTGAGCTTTTCTTTCGAGGCATCACTACTCTTGATCAAGCTTACTCTTCAGCTCGGGACTACGAGTTACTTATTAGTACTGCATATGAAAAGCGTGATCACCATCGTTCACCCATCTCATTAACGTCATCTCATCATAAGTCTATCATAGAACCTTCCCAGTCTAGTGGTCCTTCCCTTTGGAAAAACAACTGTAAAGGTTGTGATAGCCCAAGGTCATCTTCTTCATGTAGAAAGCGTAATGACAATCATCCTTCGGTTTCATTGGCTTCATTTCCTCCTGTTAAGTCCCTTCTAGGACCTCCCCCGTCTAATGTTTCTCCAATTTTGGAAAATAAGGGTATAATTTTTGAAACTCCAAAGACTTCTCACTTGCTACGCATCAGCTGTAAGGACTTTGGCCACATCTTTTCCAAATGTCCTAACCGAACCTTATTCATAGAAGAATGAAAGAATGCAACAGAAGAGTTGTTAGAAGATCTAGCATATGACCCTAAACTTGAAGATTTTGATGATGATAGTGAGGACACCTCCTTAGGTGGCATCCAAGCTCTTCTTGGGACTCCAGATTCTGTATCCCATGATTTCACTAGTCACTTTTGGAGAACCCATTCTCCTATGGTTAACACTAAATCGAAATTCTCCACTGCAGACCAATCTCAGACTGATAGTCAAAATGAAGTCGTTAACCAAAGTCCTAGCAATTTATTCAAGTATCTAGTCCAGAAAAATCTTGGGAATTGGGACACGGTCCCCCCCAACTGTTCACATTGCATATAACAATTCTATGAATCGGTCTCTGGGTCTAAATCTATTTGAAATTGTTCATAGTTATAAGTCTAGGTGGTCGTTAGATCTTATTCCTATGTCCCCGCATGCTAGTGTGTCGTTGTCAGTTGAAGCATTTGTATATCATCTTCATAACTTGCATATTGAGTTCAATAAACAACATGACGCAAGTACTGCATTATATAAACTTCAAGCTGATTCGCATAAACGATATTTTGAATTTAATATTGGGGATTATGTTATATTGCAAGCTTATAGTACTAGTCCTTCAAAAATTTTAAAGCATGTTGGTTCAAATGCACATGTCATTACCCTTTCATCACATTTTGGCTACCACTCTGCTTTAAATATTGAGGACCTTATTACTTACAAACACCGTGTTACTTCCTTTGATGATCTATTTCTACTTAGCTTTATGGACCCCTAACTTGACTATATTGATATTTCTACTTCAATACCATCTATCACAGCACACAAAGATAAAATTGATGTTATTTTAGATGAACGTATTGTATTGACCAATGATGGCAAGATTCAGTACTTCCTTATTTATTGGGTAGATCGACGTGCTTCTTATGCTTCTCATTATATACAATCCTGTGAAAATCTTGAAAATGAGGAGCATGAGTATTGGTTATTTGGAGTCCAGTATCAGTACTTGGTTAGAAGGAAAGATCGCCCCCCTTGGTCAGATCATATTCTTGGGAATAAGCTACAGTTTTCAGTACTATCAATCATGGAATTTCGTTACTTGGTTCGTTAGAAAGATCGTCTCCCATGGCTTGACGCATTTGGAGTATCAAATTGACTGCAGCCTATACTATCTATCAACTCGACAGGGTCGAGTTTTTCTCCCATCCTGGGAGAGTTGATGAGGACATCTATTTTTTATTTATTTTTAGTTCGACTTTATTTATGTTTTAGATTTTATTTATGTAATTGGGCTTGTGTTGGCCCAAGCCCAAGTCCATTCTACTTAGGGTTTTAGTCTTTACTATTTAAATCTAATTGCGATGTAATTTCATTAGTTTTTGATAAATTGAAGAATATTTTGATGGTTTGTTGCCTATTGCTTCTCCTTCCTCCCCCTCTTCCCCATGCATTTCTACTTCTTCTCCGATTTCTCCCCCCATTCTCTCCGGTTCTCCCCTCTTTTTTGTTTCTTCTTTCTATTTTTTAATTCGTCCTGCATCACAGAAGTAGCAGAAAATGCATTCATGTGAAGATAATGATGTATCTACTACGAAATAAGGAGCATGAACCCAGCAACAACTAAGAACCTTATAAACCACTTGCTCAACATAAAGGATCATTAAAATTCAAGATGAAAAAGTTGCGTCAGAACTTACATTTTGCATATAAGCAGTTCATCATTCCAGTCTCCAAATCCAACTGCACAAGAGTTTGATATTATTTTATTTAAAAAAAAAAATCAACAGAAGAAAAATCATTCATTGCATTCAATTCAATAAAACAGTAATGCCATAGGAAACATATTTCTTCAAGTGACGAACTGAAAAAATGAAAATTTCCTTCCATTTATTTGTTCTTGTTAGCATCCATTCTTGGTGCCTGTATTTTCCTCTTCCTTTTTCCTTGTGGTAAAGGTGGAGGTAGGGAGTTAATGATCCGTTGATATTATACCAGGAGAGTACTATAAATAATTTATAGCACTCTGGAAGGTAAAGTCTTACTCTTATCAACCACATAATCTAAAAGACCAAGGATACCAAAAAACAAAAACAAAGGATAGGATAAGCATAACGTGTGGCACACCACATTAAACACAATACACAAACATTACGAGTTTCCAAACCATGAAATATCCTCAATTATAAATCGTTCACATTACGAGTTTCCAAACCATGAAATATCCTCAATTATAAATCGTTCAAAGAAGATTATGCCCAAATTTCCTAGAAATGGCAAGTCACTACCGGCAAGTCACTACCAGAAATATACTGTCTGAAGGGCTATGTTTCTCGGACTCGGATATGCGTACGTACCTAGAGGTTGAATCCTTTTCTCCTCCATTCCTCTTTTCATGCATGCAGCTACAACTCTCCTGATTATGTGAAAGGAAAATATGTATTTGCAATCCCAGTTCAAACAACTGATCTTCATTTTTCTCTCTTTTCTCATTGAATACAAAATTTACTCCACTGACCTCATTCTTTCGCATTTTTCCTTATCTTTTTCTAGTGGGGTCTAGAAACATATAATTGTGCTAATTTCCAAAATTGAGCGGGATCCTTTGACCACACTAACTTATGGGTGGCTGCCTCAAGCATTCCACTTGTCCAATTAAACTTTGTGTGACATGAAAATAAATAAAACAGAATTTTATCCCAAGTCACCAGGAATAAAATCATCATTACATAATAACCAAAATTTTTTTCATCCCGATTTGCAATTTTCCTCTAAAAACATTTAAAAAATTTCCACAGAGAGTATGCTCGTTCTTATAAACTTATCTGGTAAAGACTTGGTTAAAGGTGAAGAACGAGAAAATTGAACATAAGAATGCAATTATCACCGCTTTAAGCTCGAAACTTTGTCAAAGATTCAGTGCTATAGAAAAAGTCTTAGTCAAGGTGTATGATCAAATGAGAAAAAGAAGAAACTTTGAGAACTTACTTTATTTTGGATGGAGAAATTGATGAAGTTAGTATCAACCAGAACTCGGTAAGGTGGCCCTAACGCAGTGTTGTGCTTGAAGTAAAGGGCAGAAGAAACTTGAGGTCTGCATTAAAATATAGCAACCGCATCGATTTCATCACAAATATATAAATACGAACACATCAAAACTTTTAAATTCGAAATAAAAACAATAATTACTTACACATTTCTTGGAAGTTTTAGTTTGCTCAAGTCTTTCTTGTTCGGGTTTAAAACCTCCTGTTTGTGTCTGACATAAAAAAAAATTAACACAATTAACAAATTAATTAAGTACAAAAGTAAAATAATCAGATAGATGTGAGATTACTGTTTAAGTGCTCTGTGAGTAACAATTTTCTTCATGACTGCAAATTTAGGGGTTTTCTTTGCTTTCCCCATAATTAAAAAAATTTCTCCGTAAATAGAGCAAAAAGGAGTGAGTCTTTGAAATTCAACGGAGAAGATGACGGCAAAAGTAGCAGAATCTGCCGGTAATATTGACGAGTCGAGATGGAGGCAGAGAGGTGCTGCGCTGGTAATGGTGAAGTAGGAGGGACGGCCGTGCAATTGTAAAAGAGAGAAGGCTAAATGGGTTTGGGCTGGAAACGGTAATTGGGCTTCCACTGAATTTTAGTTGACCCATTTTAGTGGTCTGGGCTGGTTTGGATCGGGCCCACCAGATCCTCCCCTTGTCTCCCTGTTTGCAGTAGATTTTGTTGGAAAGTTGAGTAGAGACTTATTTTGGGTAGAGTTTTAACATTTTTCTTTTTTCTTTTTTTCTTTTTTAAATCTTTTGTTTACTATGATATTTATATAGTTTTTTACATAAAATAAATAAATAAATAAAAATTGAGACTATTACTAGGATTGTGATATTTTTTATATAGTGGACAAATTAAATTCGAGCTTGATCTTTCAAATATAAACTAATTATCATTTAAAAATAGACTTTTCTTTTACTCCATCATCATGATTGTCTAAAATTATGAAATTGATCTTTCATAGTATATAAAAGACATGTGACTTCATGTAACTTCGCGTGTAAGTAAGGGTTTCACTCGAATGTCGCGTGTTTAGGGCTTTTTAATAGGTATGATTCCTTCCTTCCAAAAGAAGAGAGCTAGATAGGTTATAGGCCAGCTTTTCATACAATTCAACAAATTGTAAATAATAGATACTTTAAATATGTAATATTGGGTAGATCGACACATAGAATATTTAACAAATCATGATAGAAATATAGATTTTTATTTTATTTTATTGTTAGTAATAGATTACTCAACCCAATCAACACTCAACAGGGAAAAAAATTCCAAATTCTAGACAAATCGACTGTTGAATATCGCGCGAAAGCTCTCGAAAACGGTAGAAGAGCTTCTTCATTACCCCCGGACTACCTTTGGTTCTAGGCTTCTGGCTGCCATTCTGGTGTTCAAACATTGACTATACCCTTGTTTGGTAGCAATTTTTCACACCAAAAAAGAAATATTCTAATCGTTATTTCATTATTTCAGCCATAATTTTTTACTTTTCATTCACAAGTAGGACCCACTTTTCTCTCTAAAGATAAAAAATCAATTCTCATAATCATTACCGAACAGACCATATGGTTTATGATACTAATAAACCAATTGATAGTGTTTTTAACTTTAACATCAGAGCTCATTTATATGTTCTGTTAATAAATTGGTGAATCTTGTAATTTTTTTTGTATTTAGCAAGTGATTTGTTGATTTCCTTGCGACCTACATACTTGGGTTGTTTGGTGTCAAGAGATATTCACTCTTTGATCCAGTCCATTGTAACCTAATGGGAAACTATGGGTATTCATACCTGGTACAAGGCCATGGCTATTGTAACCCTAGCCATCACCCGTGCCACTATGCTTGGAAACCTCCTTATTGTCATGTTTCGCAGGTTCACTGTCATGGAAATTCTTATTCTTTTCAATCAACACATCCAATTCTGTATATTCCTGTCCCGGATTATTCAATTGGGCATCCATGGTATGAGTACGAAAAGAATATACCAAGAGATCGTCATTGTTGTTGATGTATTAACCATTCGCGCAGTAAAAAGACAAGAAAAATGTAAGGATAGAAGAAGAGGATCCTGATCGGGAGAGGAAAAACAATGAATCCTTGGTTCCTCTTCATTTGAAGAGTTATCGACAGTCCATTGTGTGTTTTCCATCTGAACATGGAAATCATAAGGAATACATGAAGTCAAATAAGTCAGAACTCACATATCATAGGGAGGATTCCATAAAAATACAGAAATTATTGAATAGAAACCGTCTGTTTAAAATGGATGGTTTCATTATGACATGAAAAACTTGGGATCATTAAAGCAAAGGGGAGATCTGGAGAAAAACCAGATTCAGCAAGATGATGGTAAAGGCCAATTTCCATTTCCATTTCCAATATTCTGGATGCCCTACAAACTGTTGGGAATTTACTTAAACATGCACAACGGAATTAAACAAATTTCAATTCCCATTCAAGATCCAGCTTTGTATTTAGATAAGAACTGTGATAAGAAATATACTTTTTCTTGATTTTGCAAACTCCTTCGCGTTATTCCTTTCCAGCAGCTTGAATCTGCCTCCTACAGCTGTTCAATTGTCCAGCCTCCAATGAAATCCACACAGAGAATAGACTGCAACTGCTAGGATTTTTCCTCTTGTGCCAGCAAGAATAATGAAAATCTTATGAACCTTAAACCCTAGTCATGTATTTATATAGACCCAAACGGGCTCGGCCCGGTCCGGTCTAATGTTTAATTAATCCATTTAATTAAACCCGGTCCTTGAATTAATAAATCCAATTAATTAATTCGAAAATATAAATAACAAATCCAATTAATTAATTTATCCAACGATTGTTAAATTAATCAATTGGTAATTGGCAATCTTTCAATTCTCTTTTGTGTGTGACCCATTATGTTCCCGACCACGATACCTAACGACATGAAATATTATTTTGATCGAATTAAAACTGATAAATTAAACACCCTTTTAATTTATCACAGATTCACACTCGTCGTCCCAGATTGACATCTAGCAATGTATCAGGGCAACACATGTGACGGAAAATGTCACGTGGTATGACAAAACCAAAACTGTTCATTTACCATAAAATTATAATCCCTTTGTCAATATGATCCGATCAACTACGAGATATGGAAGTGTATCAATCTCGATTATCGATCATATCTTTCATTCTTCTATTAAGTCAATATAAGTCGAAAATTCCTTTTCTACTTATACGTACACCTTGGCCAAATATTTCATTATTGACTTAATTGAACGAAATGCAGATCACAATCTCTTACTATCTAAGAGTGACGAATCCTCTATTGGTTATTCACAACCTTCATATGGTTCTTAACATACCCGAACGATGTCGTATTAGTGGCCCTTGGCAGAGCAACATCCAACACTGTCAAAATATGACTGTCTTCATATAAGGCACTATGATGACCTCAAGTTGTAGGACCAATTTCATTACCGAACGTTAGAGATTAACCACTGACACTCAGATAGTTATCCATGTGGAATCTCTTAGCGGGTCTCCAATGTTTTGTTCTATAACAAAACATCCACGTGTTTATTTAAGTGTCACCACACTTTAGCTCCTGAGATCAGTTACTTACTTCACAAGTAAGAAATGCCACACGTGATGGTCTTACTGTATTAATGATATCTGTATCTCGTTATTACTTACAACCATGGTTTATTCAAGATCCAATTGTATGTAATTTGTATCTCACAATCACAACTCCTTGTGATTAACAAATAACTTAAACTTGAATCTTCGGATTTTATTATTTAATATTATTTATCACAAAATTAATTTAAATAAATAATAGATCTCGCCAAAATTAAATGCATTAAACATATTAAAAGCGTTTACAACCTAAATCGATTGGATCTAAGGTATAACACTTACAAACTTCCACTTGCACTAGATCCAATCACTCATGTATCTAATATCATAAACATCCACATGACGATCATGTTTCTGTTGTGACAACGGTTTTGTCAGTGGATCTGTAATATTGTCATCTGTGGGAACTCGCTCTATCGTTACGTCATTTCTTTGTATAATCTCCCTGATGAAATGATATCGCCTTAGTACATATTTGGATCATTGATGAGATCTCGGTTCCTTCGCTTGCGCGATGGCTCCATTCTTATCACAATACAAAAGTATGGGATCAACAATGCTAGGAACGACTCCAAGTTCATTAATGAACTTCTTGATCCAGATAGCTTCCTTCGCTGCTTCAGAAGCAGCAATATACTCGGCTTCTATTGTTGAATCAGCGGTTGTCTCCTGTTTGGAGCTTTTCCAACTAATCGCTCAATTGTTGAGAGTAAACATATATCCTGACTGAGACTTGCTATCATCTTTGTCAGTTTGAAAGCTGACATCAGTATACCCATGAATTTTTAGTTCATTTCCTCCATAGATCAAGAACACATCTTTAGTCCTCCTCAAGTACTTAAGAATGTTCTTAATCACTATCCAGTGTTTCTCATCAGGGTTTGCTTGAAACCTACTCGTAACACTTAGAGCATATGAAATATCTGGTCTCATACATAGCATCACATACATGATAGATCCTATCGCCGAAGTATAAGGAATCTTATCCATGCGACTCCCTTCATCATATGTTTTAGGACACATATCTTTTGAGAGGTAAATCCCATGCGACATGGGACATAAACCTCTTTGAGATTCTTCCATATTAAATCTTCTCAAGATCTTATCTATGTACGAAGATTGGGATAAGCTTAGTAATCTTTTAGATCTATCTCTATAGATCTTGATTCCCAAGATATACGCTGCTTCTTCCATATCTTTCATGGAGAAATTCTTTGACAACCATAATTTTACCGATTGAAGCATTGGGATGTCGTTTCCCATTAGTAATATGTCATCGGCATATAATATCAGGAATACGATAGCGCTCCCACTTGTCTTCTTGTAAACACACGGTTCATCTTCATTTTTGATAAAATCAAACCTTTTGATTGTTTCATCAAAACGAAGATTCCAACTCCTAGAGGCATGCTTTAATCCATAAATGGATCGATTCAGCTTACTTACTTTGTTGGCTCCTTTGGATTCAAAATCTTCAGGTTATGTCATATACACCTCCTCTTGTAAATTTTCATTAAGGAAAGTAGTTTTGACATCCATTTGCCATATCTCATAATCATGGTATACAGCTATTGCAAGCAAAATCCGAATGAACTTTAGCATGGCTACAGGCGAAAAGGTTTCATCAAAGTTAACACCTTGTCTTTGTGTGTAACCCTTCGCTACTAGCCTTACTTTGTATGTATGGACGTTTCCATCCTCATCGACCTTTTTCTTGTAAACTCATTTACAACCTATCGGTTTTATCCCACTTGGAAGGTCGACCAAGGTCCAAACCTTGTTCTCATAGATTGAGTTCATTTCGGATTCCATGGCATCTTGCCATCTCTTCGAGTCAACACTTGACTTCGCCTCTGCGTAATTTGTAGGTTCATCATCCTAGACTAATA